TACATTGGTATATAAGACAATGTGTAGAATGTTGGGCTAAAGGGTACATTGGTATATAAGACAATGTGTAGAATGTTGGGCTAAAGGGTACATTAGTATATAAGACAATGTGTAGAATGTTGGGCTAAAGGGTACATTAGTATATAAGACAATGTGTAGAATGTTGGGCTAAAGGGTACATTAGTATATAAGACAATGTGTAGAATGTTGGGCTAAAGGGTACATTAGTATATAAGAGAATGTGTAGAATGTTGGGCTAAAGGGTACATTAGAAGATGAGAATGTGTAGAATGTTGGGCTAAAGGGTACATTAGTATATAAGACAATGTGTAGAATGTTGGGCTAAAGGGTACATTAGAACATAAGACAATGTGTAGAATGTTGGGCTAAAGGGTACATTAGAACATAAGAGAATGTGTAGAATGTTGGGCTAAAGGGTACATTAGAACATAAGAGAATGTGTAGAATGTTGGGCTAAAGGGTACATTAGAACATAAGAGAATGTGTAGAATGTTGGGCTAAAGGGTACATTAGTATATAAGAGAATGTGTAGAATGTTGGACTAAAGGGTACATTAGTATATAAGAGAATGTGTAGAATGTTGGGCTAAAGGGTACATTAGTATATAAGAGAATGTGTAGAATGTTGGGCTAAAGGGTACATTAGTATATAAGACAATGTGTAGAATGTTGGGCTAAAGAAGCAACCAGATACTGTACATTTTACCAAAAATTACCACATGTACAAGCAAGATTTTTTTTCATCTGTAATTTTTAGAAGTTAATTTTAATTTTCAGTTTAAAAAATTTTTACCTATAATATCCTAAATATTTCAGAAGAACAGTGCCACTTCCAAAGTCTGAATACCTTGAATAATCTATGCTTGAGCAGCTACAGATAAGAACTTGTTAGGAGGTTGCGGTCAAAGACTTTTGGCTATGAATCTGGGGGCCCATCCAAGACCCCCAGCTGTATTCAAGAGCAGTGCATGGGTTTTAAACATTTCAGAATGTACGTAACTACCACTCTTTGGACAAAATAGAATACATTTTGAACTGCAGATGTAGCTCAAAACAATGATGAAAAACCAGTGAAATACAGAGACACAAGAAGATAAGTAGTCTTTCATGTCCATATCATAAGTTTTAGTTACACAGATAGTTTTATCAGATGATAACTTTCGTACAATGTATGAAGATTTCAGACAGTGCCAAAATCTTTAAGAGGTGATTATTTAAGCATTTTAACCAAAAGAGGACCAACATGGATGTTTTATTTATAATTTTTTGTATATATTTTTATAAAACAAAAGGGTTGTTTTCTTTTGTTGCACATGAACACATACGTAACTTGTATGAGTGTTTTCTTTTGTTGCACATGAACACAAATGTAACTTGTATGAGTGTTTTCTTTTGTTGCACATGAACACATACGTAACTTGTATGAGTGTTTTCTTTTGTTGCACATGAACACATACGTAACTTGTATG